CCCCAAAACCCCAAAACCCCAAAACCCCAAGCAGTCATTATAAGGTTAAGATCAAGTTAAGCAAATTAAGAACATAATTAATAAATTCAATAATATTAGTTCTTGAATACTTCTAACTCTCCTAGTTTAAATTTCACAACATCAATTTGCTACTTATTAAGATTGTGAAGAGATTTTAACTTTTTAATAACTCCATTCAGTTCATCTCCTTAAAATATTTACAATTGAACTCTTCTGTTATTACCTAAGTTCAAGTCTAATAAACAAAGCATTCTTCTCTCTGTCTCCAGCTATTCCTACGTGTACTCTTCAACTGGAGAGAATTAACTTTACTTCAGATACTTGCTGACATCTCCTGGCTAGTAATCCTGAATCTTTAAATGAGTAGAGTTTATTTTGATTCCTCCTTATGGAGATGACGAGGTTTAAGAATGCACATTTTCCTCATCACTGTCTTCATTATCATTTTTCTATTGTTATTCATTATTTTTGTTCTCTACAATAGTACGTATCTTTTGCAACTATCTTGGCTGTTACTTTTTATAGGAGTATTGAGATCTGCCAATCATTGACTAAGACTTAGTGAGTACTTTTTTTCCCTTTTCATTCTTAGACAATAGCATTTTAGTACTCAGTAATTTATTTACCTCTTACGAAACCTCTTCTTTATGAGATTTCTTATCACCAGAAGTAACATTGCTTTACTTTTCAGAATCTTATCTTATTCTAGCATCACGATAAAGAACATCACATCTGTGAAAAAAGCTTGTGAAATTTTTCTTTTAAGCCTTATCTACTGATTTCTAAGTATCTCTTCTGCTCTTCTTTTGGCTGGACTATTAAAAGCTTTTAATAGGGGAAATATCATCCTCATCATCTGGTACTTAACTCTCATCTAGATCGATACTTCTATTATTTCTCTTGATACCTTTGATGATTTATTTTAGCTTAGTTATTTAATCTAACTGCTTAGAGTTTTAATTGATTGTAGGTTTAGGTTTTAAGCTTTGCTTTTCTTTTTCAAGGACATTATGAAGATACTCAATTGATTTATTATGTCTTATTTTCCTCGCTAATAGCGGTGAATGAGAAGGCCTCTCCACTCTTCTCTCTAGCTTTAAATCATCCTAATAATTCAAGATCGCTTGTATTTTATCATTGACAGGCAGAGGATGCATATCCTGAGTAATACTTGAAATTAATCGCAACTTTTCATTCTTCTTAAACTTAACTGAGAGTAATATTTCTAAAAACTTTTGGATTTTATCCCAATGTATAGCCCTCTTTTGTATTGGGAATAAGAGATAATCAGTTTCCTGAAGAATTTTCTTAGAGGTAAGGAATGATTTGAACTGATGCTTGTTCTTTGCAAAGTCATCGATTATTTCAAGTTATACTAGCACCTTGTATAGATCCTCTTAGTATAAGACATCATTCTAAGATAGCTCTTACAAAATGTCTATAATTAATCCTTTATTTTTGCTCTCAAGGAGACTCACAGATGTCTCTGATATCTTATATTGCACATTAATCAATTCTTTTTCCTTGCCCTCCAGGAGCTATTATATTTTTAGAAGATTATCTCTTTATTTTGAATCGTGATATAAATTATCAAAGATTCCATTCTATGACTGATCAATAATTTGAGATGAAAGTTATTACTTGTCAATAGAAGTATTCATACTCTTCTATTACAATTTTTGTCTTTTCTATTGTATTAGCTTTTGAGATTTACTGTTCAATAATGGCTTACCGATTGCTTCTTCAACAAGATAAGTCTCTGCCAATTTATGAAAGTTTTTTCTATTCCCACTTTCTGCATGTAATCATTCGAATATATCACTTTTAGATCTGTCTCTATTTTGATATTGAGATTTTTCTCCTTCATCATTTAGAATCGGTTTTTAGCTTCCCTCATTTGTAGGTGAGTCATTGATATTACTTGGACTTTAAGGAGTTGTCCAGGCTTTAAGTAGACTGAGATCTCTTTTGAGGTGTGTTTGTTATTTAGTTATTCTAGCTGACAAATCTAGCTTGTTATGATCATTTTTGCTTATTTACATGGAATAATTTGTTTATCTCCTGTTCCTTGGCTACGAGCTTTACTATTGACTGATTTTTTAATCTTATTGGTTGGATTAAGTTGCTCTCACTACTTGATTCGCTCTTGGTGTATTGCTTGCCAATAAATCTTCATCCACATCATCAAATCTAGAATTAGAGAAGGAGTTATTAGGAATTTGAGTAGATCCACTCTATTCCTCATTATAAAGACGATGAACATTGTGAATTCCTTGCTTTGGCTACTAATTATGTGCCTCTTCATCATTCACACAAGCTTCATCTATCATGTCCGAGTCATACTGTTCTTAGATTTTAAATAGAAAGTGTGCATTAATGTCATTAGGAGAGAGGGAGAAATATTGCTAATGTTGGTTCTATTAGTTTGAAGCTTTATCTTCATTTATAAGATAGGATTTGTCAAAGGTAGGGCTGATATAATGCTGCAAATTACTTTAATCTGATAGTATTTATATTCTATCTTACTCCTGTCTTTAAAATTGCTGCTGTGCATAATCTGATGAGAAGTTATATTTGTGGTTGTACTCAGATAGACGAGTTCTTTTCTATTTCATTTCTGATTTATGCAATTTTATTTTCTAAATAATTTTTATTACTGATAATATATCCTCCGGGGTTTTGGGGTTTTGGGGTTTTGGGG